GTTGCGATAGCCTGTCGTCTTTCTCCTCCCACTTTTCTTTTTCTCTGGGCCACTGGCTTAACTTCTTTATGGATCGCCAACCTGTGGGAGATAAGATTGGGATCTATACCTGGCATGTCGACGCTCAACCATGCGAAAAGGTTGGCATTTTTAAAGATATCAGCCATAAGCTATTTTTTTAGTTCAGGGTGTAGCCGTTGGCTTATCTTTGTGCATTGCCCTGGTAGCACTAGTGGAAAAAACACTTTTAAGATCGGTCATTTTTGAGTTTTAAGATCGGTTCTTTGACCGATCTTAAAAGAGATGATCTTAAAAGTTAGACATTTTAAGATCGGTCGTCAATAGCCGATCTTAAAAGTCCAGCTTTTAAGATCAGCCACTCCAATAGCCGATCTTAAAAGTCCAACTTTTAAGATCAGTCACGATAATAGCCGATCTTAAAAGCTGGACTTTTAAGATTGATCATGCTAATAGCCGATCTTAAAAGCTAGACTTTTAAGATCGGTCATGGTAATAGCCTATCTTAAAAGTCTAAATTGTAAGATCGGTCATTGGGATAGCCGATCTGAAATAAAATCCTTAAGAGGCCAAATATGAGTGGTTTGTAGTGACCAAATTTGCGACGTCTATAAAATTTAGTAAATATAAATAAATATTTAGCGACCGATTTATTCAGTCACTAATTTAGTTCCATTTACTTTAGTGACCAAAATCATTGCAACCATTTTACGACTGAATTAGCGACCGAAAATGTTAGTCGCTAAATAGTGACCGAAAATTTTTTCGTCGCTAAATAGCTTAGCGACCAGGGTTTTAGCGACTGATTAATTTCAGTTGCTAATTCGGTCACTAAGGTAAATAGCGACCAATTTTAGCAATTTAGCGACTGATTTTGGTGGTCGCTAAATTGCATATATTTTTGTAGTGATATTTTTGGTAGCATTGGATTTGTTTTTGGACTTGGTAAGGCTTAGGCCCAAGTGGAGGGCACCTAGGATGCATGGTCTTATCATGAACCTAGGTGTAGCTTAACCAAACCCAAAGATTCCATCATTGGCCACCAAGTAGCATTTAAGATTAATTTAGGTTTCATTTGAAGTGCATTTGGCTTGCATTTTCGGCCAAGGCACTCTCAAATGCAACTCTAATGCTTCCTTCCTTCTATAAATACCCTAGACTATGCATCTTGTAAATACTTTGGAAATTAATATATTGAGAGAGCCTTTGTGCCTTAATATTTTCCTTAGTCACCCTTGGCTATTTTTGGCCAAACCCTACATATCTCCACCTTGAGAGAAAAACCCTAGAAGTGGCCTTCAACTACCTTGGAGTGAGCCAAACCTAGAGTACCCCCTCTCAAACCTTTCACCAAACACTTCATCCACACTTCCATTTTTGTCATTCCCTCCATCAAAGACGCCCTTGAGGAGCTATGATCCAAGGAGTCTAAGGTCTCTCTTGCCATTGAGTGTCATCTCTACATCAATGCAAGCAATGATGCCATCACCAATCATAAAAAAGCTCTAGGAGACATCTAGATGTAGAAGAGTCAATGAGCAAGTGCCAAGTGTCCTCTTTTATTTAAGTGGTTAGAGAAGTAGTTCTAAGGTGAGGAGTAACTAAAATGGGCAGCCAATGTGGCCTTTGACTTGTCTTAGTCAAACCAAAAACTAAGGAATTGGTTTGCTTTGATTAACCAAATGAAGGTTAAACCAAGCCAAATCAATTACTTAGATCAAGAGAAGAAAAACAAGCCCAATATCACTTTTGACTAGTTCCACACCTTTACTAATTCCACACCATCTAAAATGGATATTGCCACACCACTATAATGACTATTTTCACTCCAACTACTAAACTCAAAAAAATTAAAAGTGGTGACCATGAATACAAGGTCAAAAGGAATACATTTCAATAAGGAACGTGTCTCTAAATCCTAAAGACATGACCTACAAACAAGGAAACATACACCTCTCAATACAAGGGTAAAAACAACCTATACATTTAACTACTATATACAAAGGAGTGGAAAATAAACTATACAAATATATAATAGAATATTAGATAGTTAGGAAGAGAATACATACTCTATGCTCATGAAAAACAAAGATCTAAAAAGCACATCCTCTTTAGTAACTTCTTCTAGCCTCTTAGTCATAAACCTTGTCAAAGATCTTATGGTCTTCAAGAATGGTCCCCATCACTAATTTTTCCATGTGATCAACATTATGTTGTAGTCTCAAAAGTTACTTCAAGAAAAAAAAATAAAAATTTTGATATGCAAAAATGAAGATATGTACATTATTTCAAATATTGTATGTAAATAAGTATTCTAAAAATTTATAACATGTAATGGTTATTATTTTTAATTCTTGGTATTAAATATAAATTCTTTTATGTAACTTAATTTATGTATTCTAAAATTCTATTCTAAATTTGGTAGATCTAATAGAAAAATTCAATTAAAATAAATAAAAATTTCATCAATTTCTATTAAAGATAAAAAAATATATTTATATATGAATAAACGTCAATATTTTTGTCATGAGATATATGACAAATTGATTTAATTATAATATTTTAACATGTAATTATTAATAAAAATCTAAGCCTTATTAATGTTTATATATTAAATCTTCGACAACATACTTAATAAGTTCAATTATCTTAATATGTTAAGTTTTTTTAATTTTAAGTTTAAATATGTTTTTAGTCTCTTAAATTTAAGATATATTTATTTTTGGTCTTTCAAATTTAAAATCGTTATTTTTAGTCCTTATAATTTAAAAAAATATTATTTTAGTCTCTCAAATCACCAATAACATATTTGAAAGTTATAAATTCAGACGGTTATGTAATAATATTTGATAAATTTTTAATAAAATTTGAATACAAAGACTAATTTTTTTTTAAAAACTATAATGATTAAAGACATTAATTTTAAATTTGAGAGACCAAATATAAATTTATTTTAAATTTAAAGAACAAAAATACATTTAAACTTTAATTTTATTAAGAATATAATAGCAGTAAAACCTAAAAATGCATATTAGTTAATTAATTAAGGAAGAACATATGGGAAGTTAAAAGATAGAGTGGGTCCAGCTAAGAGCGCGTTGGCAAACATCATGATCGTTGCCTATTCACCTTTCCTTTGCTTTGTCTCTCTTTCATTCTTTATTACTCAATCTTTAGACACAACACCATACAACCTCTTTCCTTACATGTAACCGTAAATCATTAGTTACGACAAAACCTTTGATTCTCTGCATGCCCAACACGTGTTTCTACCTGCTTAGCAGTCTTCCCCAATTCACTTGCAATCTGGTCGGTCAAATCTTCTTCTTCACCTCGCTTTCTCTTCAACTGCCGTAATCTTTTCTGTTTTCTCCGCACCAAAAATATTTATTTTTTACAGTTTTAATTTCATTACCAATTCCCCATTTCACTATGCTTTTCTCACTATTTATTAATTTTTTCTTCTTTGGTATTCCTTTTTAGTACAACGCAGCTTAAGGACAAATAAACTAAATAAAAAAAAATTGTTGTGTAAAATTGATATAGCTGTGGATGCTTTTTCTCTTACTATACCAACTAAAAACCTACGGCTTCTCTGGTTTAGCTAAGTCATGTCGGGTTTGTATAATTCCAACTTCTCACCGGTGAGAGCTGCTTCTCCTCAGATTAGAACCAACCCAGAAGTGGATAGGTATTGAACTCAACTCAACTGTAACAGTAGAACTTCAACTTGAACTAGAACTAGGGCTGACGTCAACCAAAATATAAACTTTGAATCGCTTGTGTTGTGTTTGTGTCTTGTGTTTATGTTTTCAGTCAGTACCTAACGGAGTTGCTGGCAGAGCATCAGAAGCTTGGTCCTTTCATGCAAGTACTTCCCATATGCACTCGTCTCTTGAATCAAGGTTTGTTTTTGTGGATCTGTCTTTCTTCTTTCTCGACAGATCGCCCCTATTAATTCTTCTTACCTTTACCCCCTTTTTTTTTTTTTTTTTTTTTTTTTTTTTTGTCTTCAAACTAACAACTCGATCTAAACAAAATTCTTGAATGAAGCGCTAAACCCCACAATCAACCCTACGTACTCTTTTATACACATAACTTTAATTTAATATATTTTTATTTCAACTATTTAAATAATAATTCTATCTACATAAATTTTTTACTTCAAAAATTAAAATGTACAAAAGGATAAACGTTAAATAAATATATACTAATATTTTAATACCTAAAATGAAATGAACTCTAATAATAGAAAATTGAGTGTTATTACGATACTCTAAGTGTATTTCCTTTTATCATCGAGTTACATGTTTACATTAATATGATTTTTCTCTTCAGATTTCAATCACTTTCTTGTGTCATTAATTCTTGAAATTAAGAAATTATCAAATAAGTACATAAAATATCAAATAAGTTCTTAAATTTAATGTTTTTTTTTTTTTTTTGTCATTTTTGTCTTTGAATACATCAATATTATCATTTTAGTTACATTTTTTTTTTGAGTTTTTGAATGTTATGATTGTGAATTTGACCTTCCTATGACATATTTCACAAAATCTTAATTAGTTTCGAGAATGAATATGATAATATCTTTAAAATTTACCAATGACAATTTGGGTATTTACCTCAATCCTTTAGAGATACCCTTACTATGCTAGCTACGAAAGAAAAACATGCATATTTAGATAAACTTCTCTATAAACATTTATATAAGAGAAACATAAGAAGAAAAATCATAATAAATTTTTCGATCAATTAAAACTAATTTATATGCATGAGTTAAAAGTAAGTTTTTCAAAAAATTAATAAGAGATAGCTTTTACAAAATTATTTATGTATAAACGAATTTTAGTTTTTGGAAGAAAAAAAATCTTCTTGAAGTAATTTTGAAGAATTCACTACAAGAAAATTGTCATATAGTGATACACACGTGACACAATAGGTGTTACTAAAAATTACTTTTCCCCGCACAATAAATATAATATAAGTTAGTATATTGTTAAAAAGTATAGGTATAGACTATAGTAACACAAAATATGTTGTTAAATCTTATTCAAAATTAACATTAAAATTACATGTAGCTATATGTCAAATAGGTATATATTTATGTATATTATATCTATAGTGACACTTTTTGTATGTTATTATATGGAACATTTTTTGTAGTGAATGTCTCATAGAAATCCAATATTCCTTAATGCAAACAAAAAGAATAATAATAAAAATAAATTAAAAAAAAAAAAAAAAAAAAAAAACACATACAAGGGCAAAGGCTTTAGCACTCTCTCTGGTGAGTTTATTGTCCGTGCCCTCAACTTCAATAAGGTCCAACAAAATATCAAAAAGGTCCTTCTTCCTATCACTATGCTTACCCTCCTTTGCCCTAGCCTCTTCATGCTCCTTCAACACCTTCTCCATCATCATATCCACCCTGTGGTGCGTGTCCATGTTCTTCTTCCCAAACCCTTGCAGATCGAAAGGCCTCATGAACCCAAACACATCCCCCAAATTAAACGCCCCAAGCAACTCTCCCACCTCCCTCACTACCTTCCTCAGCTGCGCCACCTCGTCGTCACCACCATTGCTCTTCTTACCCATAATCATCCTCGTGATGATGTTGTTTGTGTGCCTTATGAGCTCCGGCCGCATTTCGACCGCCTTTCCGGCGGTCGAAATCTGCAAAATGGTCCTCAAGAAGGCCTCAATTTCACTCTCTCGAATACTCACAAAGTGTTCGAGAGTCTTCCCACTAAGAAGCTCTGTCATGCAGAGCTTCTTGAGAAACCGCCAGTAGGTTCCGTACGGGATGAAAAAGTAATCGGCGGCGCCGTACGTGAGGCTCTCGCTCGCAATCATCAGCGGGCGATTGCAGAAGGCCTCTTCGGAGGTTTTGAGGATCTGCTTCGCGGATTCCGCTGATGATGCCACAACCACGTGCTTGGACCCGATCATCACGTGGATCAAAGGGCCATGGCGCAGGGAGAGTTTGTAGAGTGCTTGGTGAAGGAGAGAACGGAGATAAGGTGCGTGTCCAACGAGTGGAAACGAAATTGGAGGGCCAGGGGGGAGTCTCAAGCATTGCGATTTTTTTAAGATGGATTTGATCAAAATGATTGATACGAACCATAGCAAGAACAGCACAAGGTAGCCTTGGATGTCTAGCATGGTGCAGTGTTGTTGGGGACCGACAAACACGGTTGGTGTTTAATGTTTAAACTATAAATGACTCAATCTATGTTAGCGTGACCGGGTTTAAATAATGCTGAGACCTAAATAGAAGTGAAGAGTGATGTGTCAAAGACACTCACGAATGGGGTTCGTTCGGAATTTACGCGGCTCGTGTAGGTTATTATTTGTGCGATCCTCGTGGTCTTTATTATATATTTTTATATATGTGTTTCGCGTTCCTCGCGCTTCATATTTTATTAGGAGCTGATTCTGTAGCATAAAAATGGAAGGGTTTTAGTAACTCAAATTATGTGGATAAATAAACTCAAACAACAAATTCCAAGCAACAGAAATTTCAAATTAGAAATTAGTATAAAATTAATAAAAAGACTATTTCAGAAAATATAATTAAAATTTTAATTCTCATAACAAATTTTGTTTACATGTGATAAAATTACAAAATTTAAAAATAAAAGGTTGTAATAATACCATAAAAACATTAAAATAAAAAAAGAAAAATAATAAATAACATAACTAAAAAACTAATTTATGCTATAAATTTAAAAAATTAAAATCAAAGAAAAACTAAAACGTATTAACAAAATATTAATATTAAACTATTTAATTATAATAGATGCTACAGTAAGATAAAATATTAAAAAAATATATAAAGATTAGAAAATTTTATAAAAACAAATTATTAAAAATACTAAATTAAGATAAAAATGAAAATAAGTAACTACAATAAAAAATAAATAAATAAATAAAAACGTTAGATTGTTTTGGTATCCCTCAATTATAACCGGTACTATAGAATTTTCCATTTTATTAACGAAAAACCGTCATTTTGGAAAGAATTTATGTATACTTGAGATGGCTAAGGATACGCTATTTATTATTATTATTATTATTATTATTTTATCTAGCTATACGTGTATATAATGAAAATTTTCTATTTTGGCGTACGGTTTATTTGAGATTATTTTAACTTTTCTAATAAAAATAAAAAAAAATGTTAAATAGAAATTATAAAAGAATTACAAATTTTTTTGTACATAATAATTATCAACTATTCTATTATAATTAGCGCAAGTAATTTTACATAGGCATGGAGTACCTCTTTCTCTCCTAAGTTAAAATATGCTACTATATTATTGGACGTCCATACCTAAGATCATGCAGCATTGCACCCACAAAATATGTCACGTATTTTTATATTATTGAAAAAGAAGACATTGTGAGGTCTCCCTTTAAATGCACACATGCTAGTGGGAGGAATGCGTAATTATTATAATTTCATAATTTTTTTATGGATAAAACTTTTAAATAATAAACTTTTATGATCTTTACTAATTATTATCATAATTTTTTTATCAAGATTAAAATTATCAAAAATAATGTGTACACTAGAATAGGAAATTTTTTTAACATAAAAATATAAATTTTACATTAAAGAGTATTTTAATAATCCTCTAGCATTCACTTACCTTGAACCAACCTACTATGTCACAGTTTTAGTAAAATATGGTAATGTCTTATATATATATATATATATATATATATGTGTGTGTGTGTAAAAACCGGCCATACGAAACAAACAAGAAAGTTTTTTAAGTGACCACAACCACAAGAATGTGTTCACAATTTTTTAAGAGATAAGTGTACGGTAATTAAAATAAGTAATATCTAAAAGAGGAATGTTAGTATTACATTTTGTAATATTTTTTTCGTCATCCAAGTGTTCACAATTTTCTAAGAGATAAGTGTGTGTTGATTAAAATAATAGTAATATTTTATTAGGAAAATGATAGCATTATAACCTCATTCTCTCAATAATTGTAGTTGAATAATTAATGAATGAGCTAATTAGGAAAAAATAATTAATATTTCATTGAAAAGTAACAACATTAATTATTTTGAGAAATTTTTAAATGTTAAAGTTACAATTAAATTGAGTTGCAGGGAATAATTATTTTTATCCTACCATGAATATCTACCAATCTACTAAGAGACTAACTTCACGCGCAATAATATGAGTGTTGTTGATCCGAAAAGTTTTTGCACAAGGCAGTAGTCAAATATGGGTTTAACATACTAATTAAAATTGTCCCACGTCATATGAGCCCATGGTGCCTAAATCACTATGCCAACAATTAGATTAAAAGACGATCTAGGATCCATAAAAAGTTATTTTTTAATATTAATAAATGAATGTTTTTGACATAAAAAGATCAAATGTCAAAAATAATAGTAGGCAAAGACGATATTAAATGTATAATAGCTTTTCAGGTTGAACACTTTGTCTATCGAAGACGAATACTTTGAATATCCTATTTAATTTACTATGTTTTAGGTTTCTATCATGTGCTTTTATATTATTTCTCAACAAATCAAAGGAATAAAAATTTCTCAATACTCACAACACACAAAAGGGATAAGGTTTTATTTTTCATCAGAAAAAAAAGCAAGATATCTTGAAATATATGAAGTCAACTAAAATTCATTCTCAATTGACACATATAACAATTCATTTCCTTTTATACCTTTAAGGTAATAATAAGTAACTTTCTTGATCAGATAAAAAATAACCATTTGGTGAAATATATTTAATACAAACATTCATTACACTAATGGACACCTAATTCTACAAGGAAGCAAGACGAAACAAATCAACAACTACAATTCAAGGTTTGTAATAGTCGTCCTCAAAAGTCACCTATATAAAGAAGTTTGAACATCTTAAAGAATAAGAACAAGAACAAAATAGAAGAAGCAAAATCATGAACATATTCTTTATTCATAATCTATACTTCAAATATTTATTATCACATCTTGTTTGTAAGATGATTTCTTTATTAACTTTCTCAACTTAAAAAATAACATACTAATTAATACTTCAAATATTTTTATAAATTAATTAATGATGATAAAAAAATAACATACTAATATTTGATTTTAAATTTGATATTAAAATATTATGATATAATTAGATAAGATTTTAAATTAATATTTTATTAATGGTTGATAATTAGAAAAAAACAAGAATAAATACATTTTTTGAATTTTATATCATATATTTAAGATAAATAAATATATTAAGTTAATTAATAATTTATTTAGAATGTTAAAATTTAATTTATAAAAATAATATTTTAAAAGAGAAGGGTTATAATAATACTGTGTAATTTTTATTAAGTATTACACTACTCAATAACTTTATATTAAATGTGAATTTTATAAATTCAACCGTTAGATTGAAAGTTTTTTACTCTTAACTCATATATACAAAATTTTATATTAATTCAAGATGATTTGATACTTTATTATTGTAAAACAAAATTGACGTGATATATACATTTCAAAATATACTAAAATATGAACACTTTGATTACCTTCAAGTTGTTGTTCAATTTTAACAAAATTCAATCTAACGGTTGAATTTACAAAATTCACATTTAATATAAAGTTATTGAGCAATGTAATACTTAGTAAAAGTCATACCGGTGTTATTATAACCCTTATCATTTTAAAATATATAAATTATTATTTAAACTTTTAAATTTATAATAAATAAATTGTATTATAATATTAATTTTAAATAAAAATAAGTAGATTGTTAATTATACAAGTAAGTTATATATATAAATAAATATTAATTAAATATAATATAATTATTATTATTGGTAATATAATTATTATATATATTTTTATAGCGGTCTGGACACATCAAAATGAGAGGGATCCAAAAATAGTATAAGTATGAGATTGTATAGTTGAGGATGACTTAAATGAATTAATTTGTACTACTTATACTGACAACATGCATCTATTTTTCGGTAGCTTATCTCATCAGAAGTCTACAGTTAAGCGTCTTTGACTTGAAGTAATATAGGGATGGGTGACCTTCTGGGAAGTTTCCTAGAAAATGTGTAGTAAGGACAAAACACGTTGAAAAGTGAAGTGCCATGAAATAACATCCTTGAGAGGTCAAATATGAGGGTTGTTACATTAATAAATTTATTAAAATTAAACAAAATTTTTTCAAAGGTTATCTACGGATAAAATCCATAAATAACAACTTTCGTGGGTTATCTACGGAAAAATTTTCGTAGATAACGTTATCTATGGAAAAAATCCGTAGATAACAACTTTCATGGGTTATCTACGAAAATTTTTTCGTAGGTAACGTTACTTATGGAAAAATTTTCGTTACCTACGAAAAATTTTCCGTAGGTAACGTTATCTACGACCTTATTACCTACGGATTTTTGGTCGTAGATAATCCGTAGATAATTAAGACTTATCTTTGGATTTTCATGCTTATCTACGGATTTCTTCCGTAGATAATCCTAATTTTTCTTGTAGTTATATTATTCAACTCCCTTCTAATGTCTTTCTTTTCTTTACAGTTTGATATATCATAGCTTAGCCTTTGTTGGGGTTGAGTATCTAATAATGTTGAAGGAAAAAATCCTAAGATGAGAAGTAGTAAAGGGCAATACTTGCCCAAATGAAATTCTTTTACAAGGTTTCCCGCCTTAATGGAGAAGACTATCTTATTGGAAACACATAATGAGAATGTTCATTAAGTCCACCCAAAACCACCACTAGAAGATCTTCACAGGTGGTGATGTTCTCGTGACCAAGACGAAAAGTCAATACACACATAAGACGACTACAACACTCTACAACTTATCACAAAGGCAAGATACATCTTATATTATTCTTTGTCGAGAACGTACATAATATAACAAATTTTCTAGTTGAAAGATTCACATGCAAAAAAGAGAAATCAAAGATGAGAACTTGCAAAAAATAGCGATGTTGGGATGAAGCGGGTGAATGTGTGATGTACTAACGTCGTCGCCATATATGTGTTGCAACGAGCACCCTCTACCCCGTAATTCTCATTCTCATAAAAAGTAATGAAGTAAGGGAATCTCATCTGAACAAATATTTACTTGAAATAAATAATAGTTCATAAAACACGTCTAAGGATAAAGGATTTGCATTTGATTCAAAATAGAATAAGTTCAAAAACAATAGTAGGCAAAGATAATACTAAATGTTGAAATGCATGATAGTT